AAAGATTACAGATTACCAAAGTAAGATAAGGAGATTTTACTTTTTAACCTATAGTCCAATCCCAGCACTTTGGAAGGCTGAGGTGGGAAGATTGCTTTGAGCCCAAGAGTTTGAGTATGCAGTGAGCTATGACCATGCCACTGTACTCCAGCTGGGTAACAAAGCAAGACTCTGTCTCTTTAAAAAAAAAAAAAAAGAGCGCTTTAACTCTTGTTACTAGAAATTATATAGTATGATTTAAAAAGTTTATTCTGAGTATAATTAAACTCATATGGAAATTTTGAAAATAAGGGATTATCAGGAAGAAAACTTTATATTGTTGTAATTTAAAAATAATATCAGGAAGCAGCACCAGAATTTTATATTACAGAGCTTTAGAGTTTAGACTAAGCTAAAAATTGTGATTAATGTAAAGATTTTAGATAAAAGGAATTGTTAATGTTTCTACTAATTTTTAGTTGTACTTTGTTTTTTATTTTTGAGATGAGGTCTTGCATTGTTGACCAGACTGGTCTTGGACTCCTGGGCTCAAGTGATCCTCCTGTCTTAGCCTTCTGAGTAGCTGGGACTACAAGCACAAGCCACCATGGCTAGTTGTACTTTTAATGATCATTCCTCTTAGCATATTTAGTTTTGGTTTATCTTATTATAAGTTAAATCTCAGATACTCTTCTACCTTTTTTATTCAATTTGTAGAAGTCACATGGGTCCTTGTAGTAACACATCTTTATAGCTGAGATTTAAGAATACGATGCTCTCCTCAACTAAAATAGTCACATCTTTTTTTTTTTTTTATGTTACCTGCTATGTAAAGGTTTGTTATTATTTCCTATAGTTTGCATTTTGAATATTTTTACTAAATGCTTTCTTATGGGAATAGAATAATGAAAAGAAGAAAGTAAATATTCCATGATAATTTGTTTCATAGAGGATATATTATGAATGCTCTGTTAGATGGCAAATTAATTTTAAAAAGATTGTATATTTTAGTCTTAAGTATTTTATTTAAGCCACAACTGCTATAGAGACCAAATACTTCTAATCATTATAGTTCTGAAGCATAATGTTAACTATCTTAGGGTCATTGATATTATACTTCATGAAGTGACATCACTTCAAATGACCCTGAAATGACACTAATGGTGTACTTGCCACTAGACATCAGAAGACAACAGCTTAATAAGTAAGTCTCACCATGTTTCTTAGCTCCTTAAGTCAATAGAGATGCTATTGTTAATGGATAATTAAAAATGAATAGAATATTAAAATTGTTCTATACAGTTCTTTAGTTCCATGCTGTACCTCTAATACCATAAAATGTTGGTACCAGATGACAAAAATAAGAATTAAAAAGTGTTTTCTCTTGACTAAACATTAAATTAATAAAATTATAAATAATTAAGAGGGCATTATATATTGTTACTTGTCTGCTAAGACAATATTACAATACTATTTGAATCAATCATTGAACTTAATGTGGACAGTAATTTAAATGAAAAGAAATCCTATTTTTCTTTCCATTCTTCCACATAAACCCACCAAGTAGAAGTGAAAAACAGTAGAAGTCACCTTAAACACCTGACTTTTCAGAAAGCTGTAAATTGCCTGTTCCTGGCATGGGAAAGTTGAGCCTGTTGGGGGTATCAGCTTTGCAGCATTCTTGTTTTCTCCTTGACACAATAGAGCATCCATTGTGACTCTATGTGAGTAGAGATATGTACCTTTGATTATTAGTTATTAGTCCTCTATGCAGTTAGACTGCTAAAAGCAGAAATGAAATATTAAGAATAGTGTGTTCTGTGAATATGCTAAATAACACTGTGAAAAATATTTTTGAAAAGTGTTATTTTTTGTGGTTTGTTTAAGAAACTGAGTCTTGCTTTGTTGCCCAGGCTGGGGTGCAGTGGTGTGATCATAGGCTCAAGTGATCCTCTGCCTCAGCCACACAAGCAGCTGGGACTACAGACACCCGCCACTATGTCCAGCTAACTTAAAAAAATTTTTTTTTGGTAAAGATATTTTCTTACTATGTTGCCAAGTCTAGTCTTGAACTCTAGGCCTCAAATGATCCTCCTGCCTCAGCCTCCCAAAGCACTGGAATTACAGGTGTGAGCCACTGCACCCAGCATAGAATAGTATATTCTTTTTTCTACTTTTCTCATTACTTCCTCTTGCTCAGGCATTCATTTATATATTCATTTATATATTTATTTGATGATCATTTTTGTGGGTAAAGGTTGTGTGCTAAGCATTATAAAGTTGAATAAAGCATGGGCCTAGCTTTCATGGATCTTTTTTAATAGTTGAAAATTTCTTCTTTTATTATGTAGGCAGTGATATGTGGCAATAGTCACAAGGAGTTCAAGTCAGCAGAGATAATAGAATATCAGAAGGAATGATTAGGTGTACGTTGAAACTTGATTCTTCCCCATGGATTAAGGCGTATATGTAGGAAAAGTATGAAAAAGTAATTTAGTTTATCTTGCAATTAAAATGATCTTGGACTTCTTTTTTATTTTGTATGCTTTACAAAATTTTAGATTTAAGGGGTACACGTGCATGTTTATTACGTTATATTGTGTACTGGTGGGGTGGGGCTTCAGATGCCTCATTTCCCAGACCATGAACGTTGTGCCCACTAGGAAACTTCTGAACCCCGCTTCCTCCTCTCCCCACTTTTAGTGTCTCTAGTGTCTGCTGTTTTCATCTTTGTGGCCATTTAGCTTCCACATATCAGTGACAACATACGGTGTTTGGCTCACTTGGAATGGTGTTTTTCAGCTCCATCCATTTTGCTGCAAAGGACATGATTTTCTTCTTTTTTTATGGCTGTGTAGTATTAAGTTGTGTGTGAGTGTGTATATATACTGTATTTTCTTTATTCACTTAATTGTTGATGGGCGCTTTGGTTGGTTTCGTGATTTTGCTATCATGAATAGTGCTGCAATAAACATATACATACAGGTATCTTTTTAATATAGCGATTTCTTCTACTTTGGTAGATACCTAGTAATGGGATTGCTGGGTCAAATGGGAGTTCTGTATTTAGTTCTCTGAGAAATATCCATACTGTTTGCCATAGTGGTTGAACTGTTTGCAATTCTACCAACACTGTATGAGCATTCCATTTTCTCCACATCCATGCCAGTGTCTGTTGTTGTTTGACTTTTTCAGGATTTTGTAGTTTAGTTTTATATGTGATACTCCATTCTGAATATGAGAATCAAAACTATTTATCGCCTTAAGCCTAAACTTTATATCTTTAAAAATAAGCTTTAGATTCCTTTTAGAGGAACGAGTTTCTTTCTAGGATAATTTAAAATTCCAGGCATATGGAATTTTTTAGATCCTTTTTGGAAGAGAGTCAGAAGCATGTGTAAGAGGTGTCCCTAAGAAATCCTATGCCATACCCTCTATCATCAAGGAGTTAAATAGAACAGATGTGTTTATCAAAAGAATTCCAGTGTTGATAGTGGAAAGTGGAATTTAGTATTATGAGGAATCAGTAGACATCCCTTTATATTTATACTACTTTGACCTTTTTTTCCCTGAAATATTTTAGTGATGTAATAAAGCAGAGCTATGACACATTCATGATAAGTTCCCATCATTGAGCTGCATTGTGAAGAATATGATACAGAAATGGTGATTTTTTATGGCAATTTATAGACTGTAATCAGTTATTTCATTTATGGTGCTTATAGATGAATCTCTAAGGACCTTTTTTATTTTGTTTAGAAATGATAATTTTTTATACTATATAGCGTTATATATACTGAAAAAGGGAGATGGACTTTAGATATCTGAATACTCATCTGATGTCTGTGCTTCATGACAGTTAGATTTTTAAACAACTTTATTGAGATATAACTTACATACCATAAAATTTACCCATTTAAAATGTAAAGTTCACTGGTTTTTAGTATATTTACGAGTTGTACAGTCATCATCATTATCATTATCCCAAAATGTAATTTGATTTTTGAGTTCTATTTTTGAGTAGTAGAAAACATTACTCAAAATGGAAGTCTTTATTCAGAAATTAGCATCCATTTACAAAGTTTCTGTTTGAGATGTTGAAAAAAAATTCGAAAATGAATAGTGGTGATCGTTGCACAACATTGTGAATGTACTTAATGTCACTGAATTATACACTTAAAAATGGCTAAAATCGTAAATTTCATATTACACATATCTTACCCCAATGAAAAACTAACCATCCGTTCATGTGAAATTGGAATTGATTTAACTTTAAAATTTTTCGGAAATTTTATCATAAGCAATATAGGACCCTAATCATTTTTCTCAGAAACATGTTATTTTGGTAAAGATATTCTTGTATGATAAAATTCATACTATTAATTTTTCTACGCTGAAAAAGATACATTATAATTGTTGGTATTTATTTTTATAGAAATTAGAGTAGAATTAAGTGGAGAAGTACAGATAGTTAGCTTTTCTTTTCTTTAGTTTTGCTATTCTTGAAAAAGTAAGATAGCAAAAAATGCAGGACTATTTATCTTAATGGGGGGAAAGTAAAATAGTGCACATAAGCATATATAATACATATATGATACAAAATATCTATTTATAGATGCATTTAAAATATCTTTGGGGACGGGCATGGTGGCTCAGTCTGTACTCTCAGCACTTTGGGAGGCTGAAGTGATAGGAGTTTGAGACCAGCCTTGGCAGCATAACAAGACCCTGTCTCCTTAAAAAAAAAAAAAGAAAAATCTTTGGAAGAAAACAGAACAAGTTTTCTGTTCTGGATGGAAGAACACAGTGACTAGGATTTGTGGGTGAGAATGATGTTTTAGACTATGTGAAGGTGTATTACTCTTTGAGGCATTTTCAATAAAAAAATGTCTCCTAAACCGAGTCTCAGAATCAACATAGGCGTGTCCTTCCTACTGTGCTTTGTAACAGTATACAGGAGATATAACTTTATTAAGATTGGTTTGAAGATGAACTATCCTAAGAAGTTGTTTTCTTTCTAGGAATTGATTATGGATTAAGTTTACCACTTGGGGAAGACTATGAACAGAAGAAGCATAAACTAAAAGAAGAATTGCGGCAAGATTACAGACGCTATCTTACTCAGGTAATGAATTTTATTAATGAATTGAGTCTTATGTTTCAGGATTCATTTTCTAAATTTGATTTTATAAGATATTAGTCAAATGTGTTAATTTTTAAGTTTTCAGTGATATATAGCAAAGTAGTATTGTAGTCAAAGTTAAGCGACATATGACACTGACATTGATAGAGAAAAAATGGTGTGAGAACTGGTGCCATGGAATAACACAGACTCTTGACCCTTGGGTTCTAATTTTAAATAAGATTGTTAATTATGGTTGTTCATGTATTCTGTAAATTTGTCACGCTTTAAAGTAGCCCATATGATTTCCCACTCCCCAACATCACCCTCAGTCATGTTTTAAAATGACATGTGGAGTTCTAATTATTAATTTTCCTGTGAGCCAAACATAAAATTTCATTTAGCATATTTGTTTAACCACCAAAGTCTTTGTTTTATGAGCTCGTGTTTTACTTAGTAGAACTCTCTTTTAAGTATATTTTGTTAAGTTATATAATAGCTGAAATAAAGGTTTATTGTAAGTTTCAAAATGCATTTTACTGTTTAGGTTATAAAATTATTTTAAATAATCATAATGATATTCCAAGATATTCTTTAGTTTTTCACTGCTTTATAGTGTTTATTCCAAATGTATACAAATGGTCTCTTATGTATTCTGATTTGCACATGGAGAGAATGAACTTTGACTAAGTACTTTTTATCAATGGTTTGTTTCCCTTGACTTCAGGGCATTACACAAGCAAAAAGAAAGGTAGGGTTGCCTGCAAAATGTTCTTTAGCTGTTTTTTTTTTTCCTTCAGATCTAGCAGCTTGCAATCATTTGCATTTATGAGATTCATGCCAATTAGAAAACAGCTTCATTTGTGATACTGAGACTTCTAATGGTACCATTTTGTACCTTGCTTTTAGCAAGATGATAATCTGCACATTATAATTTTCCATTAACACAATCGTTATTTTTGATTCCTGCATTGCTTTTGTTTTTGTTGCTTTCTTATGCTTCCTTTATAAATATTTTGCAGCAATTGCAAGTCTACTGTTTTCAGCATGCTAGTTTTTGTTCCTCAAATTATGCTAATCATAATAAGATTAATAGAATAGTAGACTATTCAAGATATTTTACAGTATTTTGAACTATGTATTTCCAGAATTTGGATTACTCTATATTTTTGTAACAAAATCTGTGGGTTGCATTTGTAAATTTATATAGGAAAGCAAAGAGAGAGTTTTATAATTTTACAAAACTGTTTTTAAAAAGAATCTCACACATTCATTCACCATTCAACTAACATTTTAAAAACTCTTGTAGACGTACTCAGGTATGGGTCAGCTCTTAGAGCTTAGAATCTACTAATAGAGATAACATTTATACACTTCAGAAAGTGATGGCTACAGGAAGGACATAATGATCAGGAAAGGCCTCATAGTAAGATTTATTATTTTGTAAGGCAGCATAGGGATAGGTAGAATTTGGATGATCTAGAGAGAAAGCTTTTCAGATGGAGAACATAGAATGAAGAAGGACTTGGAGGGTAGACTTTAGCTTTGTATGAATGGGACATATTAGGTCTACCAACCTGACTGGTCAGAATATCATTCTTTTTGAGTGTAGCAAGAAATCATGATGATGATAGATAGGATAGGATCAGATTAGAAGGCAGCAGATTTTTAACTTGTTATATGGAGTAGGCTGTGGTGAAGCATTTGAAGCTTTATACTTTCTTAAGCAGCCTCTGAAGAGCGTGATAACTTATTTTAGGACTGTTACTTCTGCGTGTAGAGACTCTCACCTATTACCTTAAATTATTGCTACAACTCCTTAACTGATCTTCTTGCACAAATTCTTAGTCCATTCTCCAAGGTACTTTCCATAATGATCTTGTCCCTAGCTGATGTAAATATATCAGTATCCTGAGTGCCTTCAGGATAAAATTTCACATTTCTTTGCCTGGCATATGCCTTGTATGTCTCAGCATGACTCCCTGACCTTATACCTCATGATCTTCCCATTTCATACCTCTCATTACTGGGTGGGTTTTTCCTCTGGTATAGGGTTTTCCTCTGCTTTCAGATATTTACCATTTTTACTTGTAGATTTTGCATTACTTCATAGGTCTAAGGCTTCAAAAAAGAATGGAAAAGAATGTTGGTGGGGGATGTAAGAAGAAATTGCCTTCATGAAAGTGAAAGAGAAAGAGATCAAGGAGTACAGATTTTTAAATTCAAAGAGCTGTGAAGGAGTTTGTTGGATTATTAAGAGTATAGTTGTGGCAAAGAAGTGATATTTCCTTATAATAAGAGATAGTCTTTGGTTGATATTTGAGAAGGTGGGAGTGGAAAGGAAACCAAGGGAAAAAGAAAATTACGTAGGATATGAGGAGGTGACAGCTGATTCCTGGAACCATAGAATATTCACGGTTTCCAAGTCCTACTGCTTTTTGTGGCTTCCAAACTTTTGGATTGCATGGATACTTAAATTTTTAAAAATTACATTTTAAAATTTGTCCAAGAAGAGTCATTAAAACCAGCAGACAACTTCTATTTCCTTTCTAGTTTTTAGGATAAAAAGATGCTTGATCATCTAAACACAGACAGGCCATGTTCTCAGAAGAACAGTTTTTAAATTAAATTAGTACATTAATATCTCCAGTCCAGACCTCTGTCCTGAACCTCAGACTTTTCTATCTGGCTGCACAGGTGACATTTTCACTTAAAAATCTACCTGCTATCTTATGTAGACCATGTTCAAAAGGGAATTCCTGATTTCTTCCTACCCTCATCCCCTAGAAGCCTGCACTAATCTGTAGCCTGTTCTTTTATTTTTTATTTTTTGTTACAGCCATTATCCCCTTCTAGCATACTATATACTATTATTCTCCATTATGTTTATTATTTCTTGTCAGATTCCCATGCTTGAATGTCTTGTTTTCTTTGTCAGATAAGTTCAGAGTTCCACAAAACCAACTTTCAAATTAGCTTTTGTAATGTAACCAATTTGTAAATTCAGATTTAATGAAACTTATTAATCAGTTTTACTGATTACTCTGTTCCCTTTAATGTTTTGAATATAATTCTATTGTAGTAGTTAGTATTGTAGTTATTTGCTTACATGTTCTGTTTCTCCAACTGAATTGTAAATCTCTTGAATATAGGGAACATATTCTTATCTTTGTATCTTTACTACCTAAAATAGTATCTGGGAATTATTAGATTGTTGATAATTGCTTGTTTAATGAAAAAATAAACAGCATGGAGCTAGATAGGTTAACAAGTATTGATTAGGTTAATCTTTGTAACCTATTGATGTGTAGATGGCATTATCTCTGTTTTATAGAAGAAGAAACTAAGGCAGAGAAGTAATTTATTCCAGGTTATTTGACTACTAAGTAACAGTACTAGAAAGTTGGGAGACTTATATTTTTTACTAGTCCCTTGTATTTGATTTATAGTGTTCAAAGAGATTTTACATTTTTATCCTCCTTGATCTTTATGCAGAGGCGAGTAGATGGTAGTAGGCAGAGCAGATAGATACTATTCTCATTTTACAGAAGAAGAAAGTCTGCCTCAGAGAAATTAAGTGACTTGCTTAAGTGTTACACAACTAGTAAGTGTTGGGGCTAGTTGTAAGTCCTGGGTCTTCTGACTGCTAGTTCAGTGCTCTGTTTACTATACTGTATTACTTAAATGTTTAATGAACAAGAATGGAGGGAAACAAGAAGATACAATGTTCATAGTTTAAGTCTGTTGGCGTTTCAGTAGCTATTTACTCATATAATTGTAAGGACGATAGAAAAAAAATCCCACTATTGTAGCATGCATAAGGATATTTTTGAGGAAGTTTAAATTTGCTTTAATAACAAAAGAACAGTGGAGTACTGAGAAGGAAGAATATATGCTTAGAGGTGGAATATGAATTGGGAAAGTTCTCTTTTTTTCTATGCTTCTAAATCATCTTGAATCAATAAATATTTATGTATTACAAATGAAAACTAAGGCCTGATTTTGGGGAGTTGATTGGAAGAAAATTCTCTTTTTTCCAGTTGCTTTGTGGTTTCTGTCTTCATCTCCATTTCATTCTTTTGCTCTGCATAATGTAACACTAATTTAGAATATAGAATTTAAAGACACATTTAATAAAGACAATTAGGTAATATATTTTTCTAATGTGTATATATACAGAAAAATTTTCTATCCACGGGTGAAACAGATCCATCTACTCTGGGAGTTTCCCTTCCTATTGGTGAGAGGTTATCTGCCAAGGTAGGTGGGTAGGAATAGTTATTGTGGGTATCAGTTTTCTAAGGCATCAAAATCATGATCTTGATTTAAAAGCAACAGAAGATGAAATCATTTCCCCATACTTGAATTTTTCTCACGAATGTGTGGAGTCTCTAGTTGCACTGTTTAAAACATTTTTTTGAACATTGCATTTATAATTGTGTGATGTGATATATTTTTTTAATATGTTGATTCTTTAATTGTAGGCGTTTACACTTAATTGAATATTTGGAATTTGGTTTTTCTCAGCATTGGTTTCTGAGCGATGAATTTTATGCCATGTGACATAGTTATCATTGGACTGAGTAGATGTGACAGTGTAGTGAACTTTTATGTGGGGTGAGAGTAGGAGCTCTTTGAAAGTGTGTTTCTGTCATGTCACTGATACATGTCCATACTCTTTGAGCTGATAATGATAAAGCACTGTACACCTCTTATAGAGATTCAGTTCCCAGAGTACATCAGAGATCATGAAATAGCATATAAGACAAAATGGAAAGTTATAAGTTTCAAAAGACAGACCTAGGTTCTTTAGTATTTTGTTTAAGATTGTGCTGTTTTAGGGACATTTCCCGATATATTTGTGTTTTAACTGAACATTTCATTATAATATTTTGGAATCTATGATAATTTTTACCTTTTTATGTTTATAATGAAGATCTTTCTTTAACCTTGGGAAAGAAATGGTTAGCAGCAGGTGTTTTAGAGTGGGTTGGAAGATAGGGGAGGAGATGCCCCTGAGAAGGTAATCTTGTCATATCTTCTTGGAAGCATACTAATGATAGATCTCCATCATATTTACTAGGGGGAGAGATTTATCTGTGGGTGCTTTTGGCAGAATATATCTGGTTTGCTTAAGACTGCTGGTTTGTTTAGGATAGCAACCTGGATCTATGGATTTATGGGACCTAGCTCTTTGAAAAATGTCATCTAATCACTGTAACTACTGGAGTATGAAATGGAGATGTTTCATAAACAAAGCATCTCCCTTTTATTAGAGACCTCACGTATTAATGGACCAAAGCATGTAGCCATGTGTATCCTCATCTGGCAAGACCTGGGGAGCTATACTCTTGGTCTCAGATCTCTTCCTATTTTCCCCTGCCTTGCAGTGATCTGTCTTTGAAATTATTAGTAAAGCTTGATTCTGGGTAATAGCTCTGATTTGTGTGATTCTGATTTGACATTAAGGTATGTACTTTTTCTGATGTTGAAATTAACATTGCCTTTTGATTTCCATTTTAAGGAAAGGTTGAAACTTGAACGTAACAAAGAATACAATCAGTTTCTCAGGGGTAAGGAAGAATCCAGTGAAAAGTTCAGACAGGTAGAAAAAAGTACTGAGGTAGGTTTTGCTTTTAAAGTAAATCTTTGATATTTTACTTGGTTTTTATGTAAATAATTGAAAACTAAGCAAATTAAACCAAACATATTGAAATAATAGTTTTAGAAATTATTCTATCTCATATTGCAGAATTTATCCTACCTTTTAAAATTTAGAACTTACCCTACCTTTTAAAATTTAACCTAAATGGGGAGATTTAATTTTAGAGATCAGTTTTATTAAGTGATTTTTCAAGTGTTGACAATTTCTAGCTATATATCTTTGTTCCAAATTTAAGACTGGTTGATGTTTCCAGGGCCAAAACATTTGCCACTTTCTGTATTCTTTTTATTGAGAAGGAATCTAATTTGAAATATTTTGAAGTAATATTTAACTGTCAAAATATGCCTAATATTTTCTGGGATAGTAATTTGTGCATTTAGGTTATCCTCTCTTTTTATAGTCATTTATTTATATTACTATTGCCTGCTGTGTATTGATATTTTAATAAGTTTTATTGAAAGATAAAAATTTCCTTGAAGTTTTTTTTTTTTTTTTCTTCAAGAAAAGACCTTTCCTTTTCCTTTTCCATCCAGGCTGGAGTGCAGTGGCAAGATCATGGCTCACCACAGCCTTGACCTCCTGGTCTCAGGTGATCCTTCTGCCTCAGCCTCCCAAGTAGCTGGGACTACAGGCATAAGCCACTACTCTTGGCTAATTTTTTTCATTTTTGTAGAGATGAAGTCTCACTGTGTTGCCTAGACTGATCTCGAATGCCTGGGCTCAAACAATCTTCACACCTTGGCCTCCCAAAGTGCTGGGATTGCAAGTGTGAGCCACCCTACCTGGCCAAGAAAAGATATTTTTTATGTGTAATTAAACAAACATCAAAGCTGTTTGATAAATAGCTGGATGATAAATAGTCTAAGCATAATTTGAGGGTTTAATTACCTGTTAAGAGATAGTATCTTAAGATTTATTTATTTTTCCTTTTTTTAATTGAATAGCATAAGACTCAAAGAAATAAAAAACTTATTAGTCAAGTCAAGCGTGACTTAACTTCACAAATACAAACATCTTGTGAAAATTCAGAGGAACCTAGGAGAGATATCTTAACTCCTTCAGAGGCATATAAAGAACTTCTGAACCAAAGACGACTAGAGGAGGACAGATATCGACAACTTGATGATGAAATTGAATTAAGGAATAGAAGAATTACTAAAAAAGCTAATGAAGAAGTGGACATTTTCAGTACAAAACATCACAGGTTTGCAAGCAAGGCTGGCATTCCAGATAGAAGATTTCACAGATTTAATGAGGATCATATTTTTGATAGACAGCATTATAGACCAGACCAAGATCCTGAAGTAAGTGAAGAAATGGATGAAAGGTTTAGATATGAAAGTGATTTTGATAGAAGACTTTTGAGAGTGTATACAAATGACAGGTATTTACAACTTCATTCTTATTTTATTTATTTGCTTAATATTGTTGTTGTTACTTTTTATCATCATGGAGAAGTGGTTTCATTTGATTTACCGTATTTGATTAATACTAAGATACTATCAGTTTTAAGATGCACCATTATTTTATGTGTCACTGAAGGGTAAAAAGAAAATACTCAAGGTGGGGGCCTTGTTATAAAGTTGGAACACTGAAAGGCTGCACGCTTCATGTAAAAGTACATGAATGGGGAGTTGACATTCCTATAGAAAGGAAGCATGCACATCCCAACCTTGGCATTGAATGGAAGGAATGAAACAAAACAAAACAAACACTTGTATACCTCATCCTGAATTGTACCCCACATATTTAAAAGTAAATAGCAAAAAAAAAAAAAAAAAAAAAAAAAAAGAGGAACAGACAACCTTTCACGAGAATTTGAAATGCAAATCAATATACTAATTCAGGTTCCCAGTCTGAATTCATGCTGCCAGTAGTGTCCAAAAAACCTTTAGGCAAGAATTCAGTTTTCTTGATTCATAGTCCCCCTGTATGACTGGCAGGAGAAAAATAACTTCCCTCTGCTATAATTTGACTTAAAACCAGGTTGGTGGCAATTCCAATTTCAGATGTTAAAATATGGATAAAAGGATACCTTAACATACATGAAATATAGCTTATTCCTGTATTCATAAGTTTTTTTTATCAGAATTTCAGATGCTCTTTGTTTCCTTTGAATGATTGTTTTTGTGACACTATTTGTAATTTCTTAACTACTACAATGAAGTTTTAATTATTAAGTCATATTTGTCTTAATACTGCACTTGAAGCTTTCCTTCCATAGTTTAACCTAACTTGATTTGGGGATAGAAATAGCACAGGGTCCCATGTTTGTTGTGTCTGGTATGTTTACTTGACAAGGGTTAAACCTAAATTTTGAGCAGTTTATGGGACCTGCTTTATTTTTTAGTACTAATAGATACTTTTAAAGCATTTAAAAACATTTCCTTAGGAGTAATGATGCACATTTTGTATTCTAATTGTTAATAACAATACAGTTCTTTGTCTTCTGTATTCTGCAGCTGTTAATGTCCTACTCACACAATATTTTTAATATATACCTTGATTTAGGTAATTTGAGTGACGGTTTAGAATTTTGGAATGCCAATTGTAGTTTCTTTGACCTGAATCTAATTGTCTGTACTTCAGAAAATTCTTCAAATCTTACAATGTATTATATTTGAAAATGCTTATATCTGAAGATAGTCAAAGGCTGCCTAAACTAAAAGAACTTTCAGTTGGGTAACTGCAGGTAATCTTGGACTCCTGGTGATATCTTCTTTGTACATGAAAACTTCTTTTTTCTTTATGCTGTTTGTCTACCCTTAGAGTGTAATATAATACCTTTTAGCTTTGGAATTTTATGAAACATATTATGGTGGTTGCTGCTTTGTATTTTATATATTTTACTCTATTTTATAATTATACCCTGTGATAAATTTATACATGAACTCATATAAATTTCATCCTAATTATTTGGGAACTATCTTTTTTTATGTATCCCATGAATTAAATGAACTCTTTCTGTGTAAACTTTTCCAAATAGTATTTTAAGAGTAGATTAATGAGGCTGAATGAGAATAATTCTTGTTAAAGAGTTTCAAGTATTTCTTCAAAATGTAAATCATATTGTATGATACTTTCATTTTGTTAATATACCAACTCATATCTCCAAATGATATTTCATATATCTCTGTGATAAGGGAAGCTAAAATTGACTTTCTAGATTTCAGATTTATAGATACTTTATTTTCAGCAAAAAAATTAATGTCATCCAATAATTTATATTTAATAGGCGGAGTGGTTGGTAGGAGAAATGACTTTATTTGTTCTTGAAAATTTTGAGGCTAAAGAAATGTGGAACTACATTTGGTCTCTTGCTTCAAGTATTTATTCTTAATATATTATGTAATCTTGTCCAGACCTTCTTGACAAAAAATAATTATAATGGATTATGAGAAGTACAAAATTAATTTTCCTTAATTCTTCTAAATTTCCCTTATTTTTTTCTTCTTAAAGGCAGTATCTGATAAATTTTAGTTTTGGTTTATAGTAAATTTTTATTTTTGTATTTTTGGTCTCATTTCTTCTCTAGTTAGCTACCCTATATACTTTTTCATATACCATAATATATTTGTTAATGAAATGTTTCCATCACTTTATTTTTAGGGACAAGGTCTCCCTCTGTTGCCCAGTTTGGAGTACAGGTGCATTATCAGAGTTCACTGTAATCTTGAACCCCTGGGCTCAAGCAATCCTTGTACCTCAACCTTGCAAGTAACTGGGACTTCAAGTGCACACCACTGTACCTGGTTAATTTTTAAAAGTCATTTGTTATAGAGACCGGGTCTCACTTTGTTGTCCAGTCTGTTCTCAAACTCCAGACCTCAAGCGATCTTCCTGCCTTTATTTCCCAAAGTACTGGAATTACAGGTGTGAGTCACCATGCCTGACCTCCCCTACTTTACATTTATTTATTTATTTATTTATTTTTGAATCAAGATCTCACTCCATTGCCCAGACTGGAGTGCAGTGGCACAATCACAGCTCACTGCAGCCCTGACCTCCTGGGCTCAGGCAATCCTTCTGCCTCAGCCTCCCCAGTAACTGGGACTACAGATACGTATCACCATGTCCAGCTAATTTGATATTTTGTGGAGATGAGGTCTTGCTATGTTGCCTAGGCTGGTTTGGAACTCCTGGGCTCAAGCACTCGCCCCCTGCCCCGCTGCCCAAAGTGCTGTGATTACAGGCATGAGACACCATGCCTGGACCCTCCCCACTTTAAATATGGGAATGCCAAAGCATTTCTCAGAAAATTGTATTATCTTCTTAAATACATATTATGAATCATTGAAAGTGTTCCTAAAGTATTAACAACCTGGTTAGCACTCTGAAAGTTGTATTCTGTGTGTATGTGTATTCTTTATGTATATTTAACAACTTGAGTAAAATTTATGTTTTAGCCACTTTTAAAGTTGAATGTAATAGTGTATCTTATGATACTTTGAAATTTATAGGCTTTACTTAAATATAGTATTCCTAGTCTTTATTATTTATTAACTTGAGCTGTAGAAGTTAATATATTACTTTATTATGTTTTACTTTAACCAATATTAATGATTAAAAGAAGTTTTTAGCATTAGAAAATGCTGTTTTTTTTTTAACTTTCTATGTGATTAATGTAGTTAGCACTTCCTTTCTACTTAAATATTGAAATTTGCTAACTTATTGATAGCCATTTAATAAAATTTTATGATAGCATTTCATGTGAAATTAGAATCTGTTAGTCACATAGACTAAGTGCTTACTTAGCAAGTGAAACATTCCTCTAAGAAGTGTGCATGCTTAATGTGCAAGACATGAGGGGTGACCCAAAAAACCAGGAATTTATTTATGAAAAATTGTGTTCTTACATGTTTATACTTCAGTAACCTTCAATGTACTCTCCATTTGATGCAGTATACCTACCGAGATGCTTTTCCTCTGCTCAAAACAGTTTTTGAACTTGTCAACTTTGATGCTTTTTAGTGCTTCTGTCATTTTTGTTTCATCTCTTCCACATCAACAAAACGTTTCCTTTTGGGGACTTTTTTCATCAGGGAAACCGCAAAATCTCATTGGGGGCAGGGGGCATTGGGTGAATAGGGAGGGGGTGGTGCATGAGGGTCAGAAACCGCTGAGCACTCAGTACAGTGTGGGTAGGTACATTGTCATGGTGGAAGAACCAGTTACCTGTTTGACATAACTCAGGATGTTTCTTCTGCAAATTGTGATGCAACCTTCTCAAAACTTTCAGATAAAAAAACTTTGGTTGACTGTTTGACCTGAAGGAACAAATTCCAAGTGTGTACTACAAGGGACCCGCCCTCCAAAACATAATTCTGGTGTTTTCTGGATCCCCCCTCATGAATGAAGAAAAATGGCTTATTAGAACATAAGTTATTTAGTTTGGTGTACTTTCATTTATTTTCGGGAGAGCCATTTTAATAATTATTTTCCTCACTTTCAGATGGTGTTGATAATATAAAACAGTGTTATTAATGTAAATATAAAAACTAGAAAAGAACTGAAAACAATGAGAAAAATGGTGACCCACAGTTAATATCTCAAAGTGTTTTTTAAAAAATTCTATAGTGAGAGTACACTTAATAGCAAAATTCATTCACAAGAGAGAAATTCTTAATGTGAAGGCAAAGTGATGCAATTACCATTACTATAAATTCGATAATTTATTTTAAGTAAGAAGAAATTGAGTTCTTCCTCCCAGTGGGCTATATCAGTGTGGTACCAACAGTAAATATTTTATTTTTATAATATATTATTGATAAGGTAAACATTCTACATTTACTTTTGAAGTGGTTTGATTCTGTGTCTTATGAAGGAAATAAGAAAAGTTATTCAGTTGCATTTAAGAGTTGTTCATTGACATTTAATTTAGCAAAAAAATCTGTGGTTTTAAACAATTAGCTTTTCTTCTGTAATAAAGTTTTTTATTATTTATTTATTTATTTTTTTTAAGAGTAACTGCTAATTTTTAGGGTAAACTTGACCTCTAGCCTACCTGGTTTCTTTGGACATTAAGACTTTTACCTAATCAGCTAAAGTTGACCCATGTCTTCAAGGAAATAGGGAGGAAAAGCTTTTTCCATTTAATGTACTTTTTTTTTGGTTAATAGGATGGTGAAATCATTTGACAATTATTTTCCTCAATCATATCTGATTTGCATTTCAAAGGAAGCAAGCTCTCTTTTATGAGCCCTGATCCTCTCTGACAAATCCAATGTATTGGGGTGTGGTAAGGGAACCTATGTATTCGAAAGCCATAGAATATTTAGCTATATTGTCTACGGCCATACTACCCCAAATGTGCCCGTTCTCTTATCTCAGAAGCTAAGTTGAATTGGGCCTGTTTCTTACCTGAGTAGGGGGAATACTTAGGTAGATTATTTCTGAGTCTCAGGGATAGTGTTAATCCGGTATTGCCACAGTTAAACAGAAAGGGCTTCCAGGGACAAAGTGGACCTAAAGTGAACCCCTGGACTTTGATTAGGATTAGGCTGTTCTTAGACATTTAGTGGCTACATTACTTTTGGACATTATCACCTGTCGGTTACCCCTTAGTGTGAGAAGATTGAAGAGAGAGATAGCAATGGTGAAACCACTACTTTCACCAATTTTTTCTTCAGAGAAGAGTTTATTTGCTTAGAAAAGGTTACAAAAATAAATTATAAGACCACCATAAAAACTGTTAAAGGGTACTAACAGGGATAGTTGAGTATTAAATGCTAAATTTGTAGCAAATAAATTGAAATATGAAAGATATTTTAGTAAATGCTATAAAAATTGTAGAGATATTTTTATAGAGAATAAGGTGGCAAACTTTTCAGACTATAATTTGGCTTTACAGCTTATGTTGCTATCCAGTTTTTTTTTAAGGTTTTATATTAGTAATTTTTAAAATTTATGGAATCTCTATTTGTAAATAGTAATCCTTTCTTAATCTAACACAAAAATAAGCAGAATACTAGTCATTTCATAAAATTGAATAGGATCCCTTATGATTTTATTGTCTTTTTTAGTGAAATGCATATCTCTGCTCTTTTTTTGCCTTTTTTTTTTTTTTGAGTTGGAGTCTCACTCTGTCACCCAGACTGGAGTGCAGTGGCCGCTCCCGGCCACCGCAGCCTCGACCTGCTGGGCTCCGGCGATCCTTCCGCCTCAGCCTTCCGAGTAGCCGGAATTACAGGCAGGCGCTACCATGCCCGGCTGATTTTTTGATTTATTGTAGAGATGAGGTCTCGCTGCCCAGGCGGGTCTCGAACCCACGGGCTCAGGCAATTCACTCACCCCAGCTTCCCAAAGGCGCGGGATTACAGGCTGAGCCACCGAGCCCGGCTCTTTTTTTGCCTTTTAAACATTTTTTCCAGTCCAGATTTTATTGTAATTGTCAGTGACTAGTGGACTTTTATAATCTTGTTAATGATTTTTTTTTTTTCTTCAATGAAAGGTCCATGTTAGAACATCTTTCATATGGGTTGTTCACGAGGTAATTTTTGTGGTTTTGTTGTAGATTTTAGCAAAGAGACCATGACCTTATACATAAATAAAATTATTTCTTAGTTTTCTTTAATTTATAATGAACTTTGGGAATGACCTCTTATGCTTATGGTGATCACTTTATTAAGTTATCTGTATATGCTAAAGAGTCTATGAAACATTTTTTAGTATAGATACTTTGGGTACAGCTGTATAAAGATAAGGTAGAATTATAAATTCAAATATTGTCTTCGGAAAACTTAACTGAAAATTCAGGAAGCCACAAGATCTTGGGTAAATTTTAGAAAATAACTTAATTGACCTTTAATTCTGGGATCCCAAGTTATGCTTTAAAAAATTCGTAACTTTCAATTTCTCTATATTTGAAAGCTTTTATTGGTATAGACACCTCTTTGCTACACCAGTGAGTTTTCTTTTGTTTGTTGTGCTGTGGTTTCCCAAGACTCTCTCCAGGTTTGCTGATTTGCTAGAACACATGGGACTTTGGGTATAGTTGTACTCGTGACTGTGATTTATTACAGTGAAGGGATACAAAGCAAAATCAGCAAAGGGAAAAGCATGTACCTAAAGAAACCAGCAACAATCTTCCAAGAGTTCTCTCCCAGTGGTGTCACACAGGAGGTGCTTAATTCCTGCAGCATCAGCTTGTGACAACATAAGGAAATGTTGTCAACTAGGAAAGCTCATTAGAGACTCAATGCTCAAGGTTGTTACTGGGGACTGGTCATATAGGCACCCTTTTCCTAGCATGTGTCAAAATTCCAGACTGAAGGAAAGCAGGTATTTAGCATAAACTATGTTGTCTGTGCAAACAGTTTAGGCACAGTAAGCTGCTCTTATCAGTTCTAGGGATGGTGGGAACGCTGCCAAAATCTATGTTGCCAAAGACCAGCCAAGGGCTAACAGTGCAGTCAGGCTTTTCTAAGAATAGGCAGTCTCTGGCATGCTCTGTTAACTCTTTTCTGTACATGTGTATTTTTAGAGATCCAGTATAACTAAATCTGGTTGCCTGACACTGTTAACTTTAAATTTGAATTTTAGTTTATATTCATCTGTTTGTTTAGTGGTAGAAATAGGGAATGACACTAAACTGATGTGTTAGTTTAAAAGAGATTTGAGTACCCAGGCTTTAGGATTAAAACTAGCTATGTTTTGATAAGTTGAAATAAATTTGAAATTCTTTTTTGAAAGGATTTTTAGAGGGCTCTGTTTTAGATATCAGTAAAAAAAATGAAAGCCGTTCATGTGTTGTGCCATGTCACGATTACTAAGATTAAAATTCCAAATAGTTTTTTCTCCACAGATGATATTGACAGTGGCTTGTATGATGGAAACAAGTGAAGAAAGAATTTTATATGCTGGCTCTGTGGATAGTGAGAGGCTTCTTTTTCTTCCTAAAAATTGCCATTTAAAAAAATTTTATAATGAAGTTCGCCCAAAATATTGAATAACACTGTAATAAACGTATTTTCTTCCCTTATAGTGCACTTGAGAAAGACAGTGTAGTTAGGTAACTGAGGAGCCACATAAAGAAATATAAAGTGCAGCTGAAATGCTGCTTTTCATGGATATTGATAAGTTTTTGTATAAAAAGTCATATTGGTTTCTCTGGTATGAGAAATTAAACTAAAAAACAAAAATCAATGTTTGCCAAATGGGAAAAAAAAGATTAATAGATATATATTTTTCATTATTATTTTCTAAAAAGGTTTTTAAAGAAAAAATTAAAAACATTCTAATCTTTCTTTTTGTTTTCTTATGACCTTGTGAGAAACTAATTATTTTCTGCCCATGTATCAGCCTGATTATGCTTTCTGTTGTCTATTGGTAATATTCTTTCATGAGGTTTAAAATGTTGGCAAATGTCTTGGTTTGTTACATTTGACTTAATTTATTGATAAGACTGCTGCTGTATTTTTAAAGTTAAAAAGGTTTATATATGCAATGAAATAATTCACAGAGCCTGAATTTTGATTTTATGGATGATCTCATTTTGAATTTTGATTGTAATCTTTGTGAGTCCAGGGACTATGTCTGAATACCCAATGCCTAGAATAGTACTTGGCACATAGTAGGTTCTCAGTTATTCACTTTTAAAATGAATGATAAAAGTGTGTTAGTATATAGTTTTAAAATTAAAAATTTCTGGAAATTATGTTGAAATAATTTATAATAACCTTTTTTTAAAGAGAAGACTATTAAATTTCAACACCTAGTGTGTCATTAACCAGCAGATCATACTCGAGACAGGCCTTACTTGAATTAATTTTAGAATGTGTTTATGGTAAAACTTCATTTTAACATTTGTTCCCTTTAATATTTCCAACATCAAATGTAAAAACACCAGAGAGATATAAGAAGGTCCACTGTATGTAGAATATGCTCTATAAGCTAATGTGTTTTTAAGGATGCATGGGAACAGACGAGGGAATGAACCTCCTATGGGATATGATGGTGATGTCACAGGACAGTCAAATATACGAATTTTATCTGCTGGAAATAAAAGGTACAGTATGTAATAAAAATTTTCCCCTTAGTCATTGTACTGTGAAACAGAACCTGTCTAAAACTGGCTTACTGAAAAAGTGAAAAGGTATAGTATGTTGACAGCCTTCCTTACTAGTAAGACATGAATTAAAGGAAAAGGAAGGATGAGGAAGGTAGTCTTCAGTGAAAATTTATAGTACGTTTCAACGTTCTTTTGAAGAACAACTTTTTGGTTATAAATTATGCCAAGGTGCTTTGAATATGTCCCTATCTTTACAAAGTATATAATTTTTTTGGAAATAATAAAAGGAGAAATAAGTATAATTTAATGGACTAAAAATCAATTTAAAACATCTTAGAGTCACGGTGATACAGTTTGGCTGGAAATATATTGAAAATGTTCCTGCGTGTGAATTTTTTTTCAAAAGTTTATTTTTGGTGTTCAACTTATTAAGTAGGTACTTTTTATACTTACTTTGTAAAATTAGTACTCATATATTTCTGTCATGTACAACAGGAAATTATATGTATTTTTTATTAATGTTCTCTTTCTACTTATAATTTTTATCATTTTGGTGGCTTTCCTGTGTCAAACATAAGGATAAATGGTTCTGAATCTATAGTATATAAGGAAGTTAATGTGGTCCTGTATTAAGAAATATGTTTATTTTCTTTGAAGAAAAGTAATCTGTAAACAGTGCTTACAGTGGGAGAATTGCTAGCTCTAACTAATAAAGTGTTCTTTGAGAATTATCCTTTTTTTCTTATTCCTATCTTCCAAGGAAGGAGTTTTTTAAGGGACTTCTTTTTCAAATATGTGCATAGGTCACACTTTTTTTCCCTTTAGGATTTATTTACGTGCACTTATATTCATTTTCCTTACTGGGGTAACTATTTTTATGTAAAAGGATTTTATTTGAGAACCTGTAAGACTTGGTATGGTGGCTCATGCCTATAACCCAATACTTTGGGAGACTGCGGCAGGAGGATCGCTTGAGTCTTGAAGTTCAAGACCAGCCTGGGTAACATAGGGAGACCCTATCTTTACCAAAAAAAAAAAAATTTAGGCAGGGTTGGTGGCACATGCCTGCAGTTCTGGCTACTTGGGAGGCTGAGGCAAGAGGATTGCTGGAACCCGAGGTTGAAACTGCAGTGACAGAGAGAGAGAGAGAGAGAGAGAAAGCATGCGTGTGTGAGAGCATAAGTCTATAGAGCCAGTGAAGCAGGCTGAAGAAAAAGGTTATTTTTTTGAAGAGCCTGAATACATCGGAGTCCCACTGTATGTAAGGTGCCATGATTTACCTAAACATATGTAAATATTATAGTGTCCATAGTTCTTTGAAAAACTAATACCTCATATCTATGTTTTACTCTAAATTTTTGCTTCCTGAAAATGATCTCTTTCTCTCTTTTTTTTTTTAAGTGCTCGAGACAATGAATCATCCAAAACTGCTAATCGAGATATCTGTAGTCCTTTTGCGGGGATGCTCTTTGGTACGTAACCAAGCTTCCAGTTGGTTAGACTTGTACAGAGTGTCTTTTAAAAGTTTTTTAGTGAGAAATTAATACTACCTTTACTAATAGTAGAAAATATTTATCAAGTGCTTACTTTATCCTAGGCACTACACTAAAAATTTAACATGTATTATATAGCTCTGTATCTAAATAACTTATTTAGTGATGTGCTTTTTATAGATGATCAGTGAAATATTCTTTCTTCTTGTTTCTTTAGCTTGCACAAAATTGCCTTGTATTTTAGTTCATTTTCTCTGAATTAAACCTTTTTTCCCTTTGTTCCTTCCGTGTAGTTTCTAAGACTGATGATGGTCCAAATTTTCTATTTTATCAGATGTCAAGGTCATTGCTGAATATAAGCTTGTTGATTTACTTTATTATACTTGTCACAATTTAATTTAAGAAATGATGTGAAGAAAGCCTTGTTTCCTGTTTGTATCTTTAAATAGAAAAGAGGTCTCCTTAGTCCTCCTTAGTTTTTTGTCCAGCTGAATGGGATTTTACTCTGTGAATACACAAACTAGCACACAGCAAAGTCTGAAGGGACCTCTTTGTGGATTTCTAGAGCTTTGGTCTTTGTGTGGACACCGCTAGAAAAAATAAAGAGGGGGAGTTAGTTTTGAGATGCACATTGTGGATGGAGATGTTAATTTAGGGACTTATAGAAGATATTAGTGGAGAATTATTTAGATTATTGGAAAAATAGGGATGGGATAAAAATATTCTATTATTTAGAAAGGGTTTTGACTCAGGGTGGAGGTTTGGACATGATTGATGTACCTTGTGTTTCAGATTAGGACTAATACATGTGACTTCTTCCTTCTATATTTCTTGCATATTTAGTAATTATTTGATATCATTAACCCTTTGTACTCATGGATCACCTACCAGCAACTTGACTGAACTTTTTTAATGAAATACTTCATATTAAGTAGTATAGTGTTGGGAACCAATTATTTTATTGTGATGATATTTGACTTATAATGGAATTTTGGACATTGAGCAACTTATTTTTGATAAAAAAATCAAAATTTTATATTGTATATATTTTTTAACGTGTAGTAACGTGAAATAGTCACCAACACGCACTGCAGGTTCATTGATACATGTTGTGCAGTAGTAATTTGTTTGATGTCTTCCACTTGGTGTTCTTCTATTCGAATAGCAAATACAGTCTCATGTTCTTTCTCTCACATTAATAATATATAATTTATTATCCAGTCTGTTGTTCGAAGACAATGTAAAAGGATGCACTTGTGATTTATGAAAACCACATCTCAACTGATCGATCAGAATTTGACAGATTTCAAATGGAACATAGGTTTTTATTGTTTTTGAATGGAAAACTTTAAGGAAACATAAGTTTTTGAAAAATTTGCGTTTGCATGAGTTTGTCCTGTATAATCTCCAGCAATTTGTGTCCCCTGAGAGAGGATATCTGAGTAGTTTGCTAGATTTATGATGTTCCCTTAAGAGGGCACATCTGAGTGCAAAGGGTTAAAAATATAATTTTTTGAACTAGAGTTTCTAATTGTATATGATAATCAGGAGTTAAGATTGCATTTTTTTCTTACCACTACCTAGGAGGTGAAGATCGAGAACTTATTCAGAGAAGGAAAGAGAAATATAGAGTAGAACTATTAGAACAAATGGCTGAGCAACAGAAGAACAAGAGACGGTAATGAAAGGTTTGCATTTAGAAGAGATGTTTTAAGTTTAAAATGCATTTGTGTCAAATGACATAACGGTTAAATTAGAAGCTATTTTTCCTAATATGATTTTTGATTTGTAAGTTACTTATATTTCAATTTTCGCATTGTAAATCAGCAAGGAAAATAAATACTATGAGTGTTCATGGTTTTTTTTTTTTTTGGTCATAGATGACAAATGAGACTATGTATATATTCTGTTACAGGCCCTTTGTCTCCTTCATTGATTTCCTCAATTTTTTGATTTAGGGTAGCATTTAATGTTTTATATATATATACTCATCAGGGCCAGGTATGGTGACTCATGCCTGTAATTCAGCACTTTCGGAGGCTGAGGTGAGAGGATTGCTTGAGCCTGGGAGTTCAAAATCAGCTTGGGTAACATAGTGAGACCGTGTCTCTACTAGAAATTAAAAAATTAACTGGTGTAGTTGGTGCATGTCTGTAGTCCCAGCTATTTGGAAGGCTGAGGCAGAAGGATTGCCTGAGCCAGGAGGTCAAGGGCGTGGTGAGCCATCATGGTACCACTGTACTCCAGCCTGGGTAACAGAGTGAGAGCCCAACTTAAAAAGTAAAAATGCCCACTGAATTATCTCACATGTAGTAACAAATACAAAAGTATTTTTCCCATATAAAATGGTAATACATATGTGCAATATAAAAATAGTTATATGGTAAGTCACAAGTATTTATATTGTATACAGTTGTCAGTGTTTGTAATCTTTCTTGTAGAGACACCCATGAGATATTAAATACAGTTTAGAATTAGGAATAGGTATCTTAATTTGAGAATTGTTATCTTTTAGTTTTTGCCTTTTTCCTACTAAGAGGAAGCCAGTATCCACTGTCTGATATTGGCCATCTTTAACATTATTTTTTTAAAACTATTATTAGAAAGTATTGTAGTTATATTTAAAAATTTACCCTTCTTTTTGGTAACTAAAACTGCATACTCTAAAAGGTATTCGTTTATTATTTATTTATTTGAGTTGAGGTCTTAGTGTGTCACCCAGACTAGGGTGCAGTGGTACAATAGCTGCTTACCACAGCCTTGACTTCTTGGGCTCAAGTGATCCTTCCACATCAGCCTTTGAGTAGCTGGGACTACAGGTGCACACTACCATAATGGCTAATTTTTTGATTTTTTTATGGAGACGGGGTCTTGCTATGTTGCCCAGGCTGGTCTCTAACTCCTGGGCTCAAGCCATCCTCCTGCTCTGGCCTCCTAATGTTCCGGAATTAATGGGCATTAGCCACCATGTCTGGCCTACTTAAAGGTTTTTTGTTTCACAGAGTAAAGATTTTTTTTTTGTATTTTATTTTGTGTGAGTCGCTTAGTCTTTGTACTGGTCTAGAGATATATGTTAATTACATATGAATTCTAGTTTACTTTGCATCAAGTTGGAACATTTGGTTTTTAGTATTATTTAAGGCTTTATTGTTGGTAAAAGGAATTATTTGTATTTGGAGATGTGTGGACTTTGTAAGTTTATTCCAGTGATGATTATAATTTTGATAGTGTTTACTATAACTTTTTAATATATAAAACTTTAATTTTGTTTAGAGAAAAAGATTTAGAACTCAGGGTTGCAGCTTCTGGAATACAAGACCCTGAGAAATCGGTAAGGGTCTCTGGCATCTTCTAATGTTTAACCTTTCATTCAAATGATCCTTAAATGTGGTGACAGGTGGGATAGAGGATATTGGGGGACACGTAAGAGTAGACCAGTTTGAACAGTAATACACTCAACTAAGTTCAGTTCTCATAACGTGTAATTTCTAACTCTTACCTGTTATTTCTCTAAGGTAGTTTTTCCTTTTTTTCTTGTGTATCTTTTTTTTAGTTTATTTTAAATTAGTTTTTTCTGCTTTACTCACATGTACTATTCAGTGGGAAAATTATCTCAGGTTAATTTACAATTGATGTTGATTTTTTTTTTGAGTATATCTTGACCACTTACTTTTCTTATATTAGAGTGATTTCCAAAGAAATGGAAAACTTTAATTCTAGTTTTAAAGCATCTTAATAATTGTTATTTAATGTAAAATTAGAGAGATAATTTTTTTGATAATATCTTATTTTTGCTTTAATTTTGCAATTCTCATTAAGTGGAATGAATTACTCATATCATTGCAGTTGAGTAAGGAGGAGGTAACAATTTATTGCCCTTACCACAATGTGCTTTTTCTGTAGTTGGATATGCAGTAGTTATTTGCTAAGGAGAGTTTTGTTTCATCTTTGAATGATGATTAAGACCTTCCATTTAATTAAAATGTTAATTAAAAAGTTTGTTCCTAAAGAATACAGCAACTTAAAATTACTTAACTGTAGGTAACTTTTGCTTATGCTAAATATGATATCATGTAGGTTATCTGTGTAATACTGCATGAGTGTCACTCTCATACTTCTGACTGCTCATAGAATAAAATGTTTAGATTAACTTGAGAAATCATTTCTAATAAGATAACCATGGCAGAAATAAGATACATTTCAAAGCTAAATATGTTTTCTTCAGTCAGTAAATACCTTTGAAGTAGCATTTGCAATCAAACACTTTAAAAGGTGAGCATTATTATTATTACTTATTTATTTAATTTTTTTGAGTCAGAGTCTACCTGTTGGGCTCAGGCAGTCCTTCCGCCTCAGCCTCTTAAGTAGCCAGAACTACAGGCACATGCTAGTTTTTTGATTTATTGTAGAGACAAGGTCTCTCCAAGTTGCCCAGGCTGGTCTTGAACCCCTGGGCTCAGGCAGTCCCCTTGCCTTGGCTTCCCAAAGTGTTGGGATTACAGGTGTGAGTCACTGTGCCCAGCCTAACAGTTGAGGTTTTTAATGCAATAGCTTGGCATGTTAAATTTTAGGTTTATGGTTACATTAAATAAGAAGGCAGATCTTATTTATCTTTGAATTGAAACTCCAATAGAGTTTCAAGTTGATTTATGAGAATAAATACGTAAGTGTTAGATGCAACAGCTAGACCATTAATTTGAGTTTACTTATTTTTTTGGGGGGGGGTCGGGGTCTCACTCTGTCACTCAGGCTGGAGTGCAGTGGCACAGTCATGGCTTACTGCAGCCTCTACCTCCTGGGCTCAAGGGATCCTCCTGCCCCAGCCTCCCGAGTAACTGGGACTGCAGGCATGCACCATCATGCCTAGCTAATGTTTTGATATTTTGTAGAGACGAATTCTTGCTGTGTTGCCTAGGCTTGTCTCAAACTCCTGGACTCAAGCAAACAATCTTGCTGCCTTGGCTTTCCAAAGTGCTGAGATTACAGGTGTGAGCCACCATGTCCAGCCTGGTTTTCTTTTGATGTGAAAATTTTTGAAAAGAACACATACATTATGTTCTAGAGTTAGGGATTAACAAAGTGTGGTCATAACCAACTCTGTTTGCTGCCTGTTTTTATAAAGTTTATTGCAGCACAGCCTTGCTTATTTTTTTACATATTGTTTATTACTGCTTTAGCACTGTGACTGAGTCTGATTGTTATGAAGAGACTATATGCCCTACCAAAGCATAATAGATTTACTGTTTGGCCCTTTACAGAAAGCATTTGCTGACCCTATTCTGCAGAATACTTTGATATCAGAAATGGCAATTAGACAGGGAAATAGCATAGTGTTACAGTATAGACAGAATACTGCAGGTTTTTTTTTTTTTAAATTCAAGAGGTACATGTGTAGCTTTGCTACATAGGTATATTGAATGATGGTAAAGTTTGGACATCAATTGAGCCTGTCACTCAGGTGGGTTTAAAAAATTTTTTTTAAACAGGTATCTTTCAAGTTAGTATCTGGCTCTCATCTTTACCTATTTATTAACAGGGAGGCATTAGGTGAATTATGTGTTTCTCAGACTCAATTACCCATTTATAAAATAAGAATTAGCTCTTCAAAATCTTTTATAGCTATGAAATTCTGTTATTTTGTGACTATCTTAAGTGCCTTCTGGGATAGAGGGTCTTTTGAGGCCCTTCCACTTTTAATTTTATAATTATATGTGGCAAACAGATTTTTTTCCTTTGTTTTAGCCTGATAGACTAAAGCAGTTTAGTGTGGCACCAAGACACTTTGAAGAGATGATACCACCTGAAAGACCCAGAGTAGCTTTCCAGACACCTTTCCCTCCTTTGTCTGCCCCATCTGTCCCACCCATTCCATCAGTTCACTCCGTTCCTTCTCAAAATGAAGATTTGCACAGTGGACTCAACAGCGCCCTTGGTGAAATGGTGCCTCCCAGGTGCTTGTTTAAAATGTTTTGTGTTTGGGAATTACATAAGGTATTGTTATATTTTATGTTCAGAAGGATGAACTGAAACAGATGACATTATTCTTCAGAGATTTTGTATAAGTAATAACTTTGTCAAGTAATTTGTCTTGAAATTTGTTTTCATTGTTGGTCCTTTCACTGCTATTATAAAAACAAAGACAATTCTTATAACATTGTTTTATTGTTTAAAGATGATTTTGTATTTTTAGAATGAATCACTAAGTTCATTTTAGTATTTTGTTTTAGGTCATATTTGGGTATGTATTTAATATCTTTTGACATATAAAAGTGATACAGTTTTCTTTCAGTTTTGTTGTTTCCACTTGGCAAACATTGAATTCTTCAATTTGTCCAGAAAAATTTTCTCATGTGGCTCTTTTATGTATATGATTTTATTTTAGTTTCTGTTTCTTTCCACTCATTCTCTATGATTACTTAGAGGCTGTGCAGCTCAAATGTCTGAAATAAAGTGTTGAGATTATAAAACTTGTAATTTAGGTATTGGGGTAGAGATTTGATTTCTATAGGCAAAAATACCATGGTATACTAGACTATATATAAGGAAAATCAGCACTGATATTTTCTGGGCTTTACTTTCTTCTCTTTGTAGGATTTGAGCTTATCTTTTGCTCACTATTAATGTATTAATTATAAAAATGTATTTAAATTACAGTAGAACTTGGTCTTATCTGTTATTTACTACTAACAAATTGTAGGTCTGTGTAGGTCTGTGTTTACTGTACTTATTAGGTGCTTTGTTTTTTTCATCTCATGGCTTCCCAACTCAAAAGACTCAGAGGTATTGGAATTAGAGAGCATTTTATAGTGATCTTATCATTGGATTAGGGATTAAAACAGTCTGGAGTTTCTGTCTGGATTTTGGGCAAATCACAAAACCTTTGTTGAACTTCATTTTCTCATTTGTAAAAGTGGAGTAGTAATTTTTCTTTTTGGTCTACAATTACAGGTTGTTGTGAGGATTAACTCATAATAAACTCTTTAAAATTTGCTTTCCCTTTCATAACAGTTATTCAGCATTTTTGTTGATGTATCTTTGTTGTTAGAATAGCATAAGGCTTGACACACTGAGTGGTTAGTAAATGTGAAAAATATTACCTACTGAAGAGAACTTCAATATCTTCTTAATTCTTCAGAAATTAATTCTTAAGTATGTGACAAGGGAGAATCTGTTAAGAATATTCTAGAATGTCCCCTTTTCTCTTTCTCTTCATTTAAAGGGACTTACTTACCTTTGCCATTTTTACTATTGGAAAATATTGCATTGGTGGAAATTTAGAGATTTCTTAATCAGTAATGTGCTAATCTAGAGGTTTTTAGAGGTTTTAAATTTATGAAATACTACAGATTATGTCAAGACTTTACTATTGATATATAAGTGATCTTCCTACTGTTAAACAATACTCTTTTTTCTCAGTCAAAGGGAACCATTTGTAATCATGCTGTTTTGTAGCTGTTTGCCTTCTCTTCCTGGACTGTTCTTCCACTGTCTGTGACCAGCTCACCTAGCAACATGGCTCAAGCATTGCCTTTTTTTGGAAAGCTTTCGTTGTGCTTTCTTCCTCTCCCTTTATGTGATTTACATGTTTCTGCATTGTGTTCCTATAATGCTATCTGTTTGTATTATTTCATTTACTATACTTGTTTAAATCTGTGTTATTTATTTTTTGAGTTGGAGTCTCACTCTGTCACCCAGGCTGGAGTGCAGTTTATATCTGTGTTATTTATTTATTTTTTGAGTTGGAGTCTCACTCTGTCGCCCAGGCTGGAGTGCAGTGACATGCTCATGGCCACCCCAGCGTCGACCTGATGGGCTCCGGCGATCCTTTTGCCTCAGCCTTCCAAGTAACTGGAACTACAGGTGCGCGCTACCACGCCTGACCAATTGTTTTATTTATTGTAGAGATGAGGTCTCGTAAGTTGCCCAGGTTGTTCTCCAACCTATGGGCTCAGGAGATCTGCTCACCTCAGCCTCCCAAAGTGCTGGGATTACAGGCTTGAGCCACTGCACCCGGCCATCTGTGTTATTCTTGAGGGCCAGGGATCATGTCTGTCTTTGTTCTGGCAGATGGTGCCTATTAGGTATTAATCGATTGACTATTAACCTAAGTTTTTGTTTTGCACACAAATATTATGCCTGAGATTGTGAAATTTTATGCTATACTATTTGCTTTTTGAGTCATAATTTTTTATAATGGTGGTGTTTTTCTGAAGTTGTGATTGGATTTTCATTACTATTTTTGCAAAAGAATAGTATCTTGATTTTTAAACTATTACAATGAAATATGGGGAAAACTTTTTCTTTTTCTTTTGACATAGGATTGCACCTCCACCTCCACCTCCTTTACTACCACCTTTGGCTACTAACTATCGAACTCCTTATGATGATGCATACTATTTTTATGGTGCCAGGAATACTTTGGATCCCAGTCTTGCTTACTGTAAGTTATCTATAGAGTAAGCATTATTTTTTCCCCCAGTGATTTAGTAAGCATTATTGGTTCTTATGTAAGCAACAAATATCTAAATGAGAAAAGCACAGCTTTGCTTAATTCAAATATATGTTTATTGACTTAACAAATACCCTATTTTAAAACCCAATTATTTTTATAGTTATTTCCTTTTTACCTATATTTAAGAAATAACAATTTTGTGTTTTCTTGTGTTGTTCCTTGCTAACTCCTAACCCAGAGGGAAATGTTGATGCTTTTTCTTAGGTAATATTTTCATTATGTACCTTTTTCTTTAGGGATAAATTAAGTGTTATTAAATGGTTACCCTAAAATAAATGTTTTTTTTTTCTCTTTTAAGATGGTTCAGGAATGATGGGAGTACAGCCTGCAGCTTATGTTAGTGCTCCTGTGACCCACCAACTAGCACAACTGTAAGTGGTTAGTTAAAAAAAATTTCTTTTTACTTTTCTTTTAAAAAATATACATAACCTAAAACTTAGCATCTTAACATTTTTAAGCATACTATTTAGTGGTATTTAATATGTTCATAATGTACAGCCACCACCACATCTCTTTTCCAGAACTCTTCATCTTGTGAACTGAAATTATACACCAATTAAATAGTAATGCTAGAACTCCTCATTTTCCTATAGCTCCATTTCTCTGCGACCCCCATTCCACGTCTCTGATTTTGACTATTCCATGTGTTTTATGTGAGTGGAATCAAAGTAATTTGTCTTGTGACTGGCTTATTTCACTTAGAATAAAGTTCTCAAGGCTCATTCATGTTATAGCATATTTCAGAGTTTCCTTTCTTTTTAAGTTTGAATAATATTCCATTGTATGTGTACATAGCATTTTGCTTATCCATTCATCCAGTGATGGACACTTCTACATTTTGGCTATTGTGAATGATGCTGCTCTGACTGTTGAATGTACTAATACCTCTTTGAGACCCTATTTACAATTTTTCTGAGTATGTACCCAGAGCTGGAATTGCTGGGTCATATGTAATTCTGTGTTTGATTTTTTTTGAGGAACTGCCATTCTGTTTTTCATAGCAGCTATACCATTTTGTATTCCCATTATTAGGGTACAAGGATTCCAGTTTCTCCATGTCCTTACCAATGCTTTTTTTTTTTTTTTAATACTAGTCAATTCTAATGAGTATGAGGTGGTATCTCACTGTAGTTTTAATTTGCATTTCCCTAATGATTAGTGATATTGAGCATCTTTCATCTGGTTGTTGGCCACTTGTCTCTTTTCCTTGGAGAAATGTCCATTCCAGTTTTTTGTCCATTTTTGGATTGGGTTTGTTTTTCATTGAGTTTTGGTAGTTCTTTATATATTCTGGATATTAGTACCTTTATATATTCTGGATATTAATACCATATCAGGGATATGATTTAGGAATATTTTCTCTCAGAGTTAAAATTCTTTTTTACTCTGTTGATACTGTATTTTGATATACAGAATTTTAAATTTTCATGAAATCCAATTTGAATTTTTGTTGTTGCCTATGCCTTTTGTGTCATGCCCAAGAAATTATTGCCAAATTCAATGTTCTGATGCTTTTTCCCTATGTTTTCTTCTAAGAGTTTTGTAGTTTTAGGTCTTACATTGAGCTCTTTGATTCATTTTGAGTTAGTTTTTATATATAGTGTTAGATAAGGGTTCATCTTCATTATTTTGTATGTGGATATTGCTTTTCCTCAGCACCATTTGTTGAAAAGACTGTTATTTCTACTTTGAACAGTCTTGGCACTCTTGTTGAAAATCATTTGACCAAATATATGAGAGTTTATTTCTGGGTTCTCTATCATATTTCCTTGGTCTATAAGTCTTTCTTTATCCCACTACCACACTGTTTTGATTACTGTAGCTTTGAAAGTTTTAAAATCAGAAAATGTGAGTCCTTTAGCTTTGTTCTTTTTTTTTTTTTCCTCCCAATAATATTGTTTTGGCTATTTGAGGTCCGTGGAGATTCCATATGAATTTCAGGATGAGTTTTTCTGTTTCTGCAAAACAAATCATTGGGATTTTGATATGGATTATATTGAACCTGGTAGGATTGCCATTCTAGCAATATTAAGTTTTCTGAACCATGAACGTGGATTATATTTCCATTTTAAAATTTCTTTCAACAGTGTTTTGTAGTTTTTATTGTATAGCTCTTTTACTTCTTTGGTTAATTCCTAAGTATTTTTAATGCTTGTTGATGCTTTTTAAAATGGAATTGTTTTCATAATTTCCTTTTCAAATTGTTCAATGTTAGCGTATAGAAATACAAGTGATTTTTGTGTGTTGACTTGCATCCTGCTACTTTGCTGAATTCATTTATTCTTTTTTTTTTTTGAGAAAGCAGGATTTATTGAGAGGACGGAGAAGCTCCCACAGTGGGAGGGGAACCGAAGGGGTTGTCTCTGCTGAATTCATTTATTCTAACAGTTTTTGTGTGCATAATCGTCAGGATTGTCTATAAGTATATAAAAGATCATCACTCTGTGAACAGAGATAATTTTACTTTCTTTTTTATTTGGATAGCTCCCTCCCCTCCTTTTTTTTTTCTTTAAGTGCTCTGGCTAGAACTTATGACATTTAATGTAAATGGCAAGAGTAGGCATTCTTGCCTTGTTCCTGATCTTTGAGGGAAAGCTTTTAGTTTTCACTGTTGAGTATGATGTTTGCTGTGGATTTTTGCTAGTATGATTTTGTTTATGTTACAGTAATTTCTATTCCTGGTTTATTGAGTGTTTTAATTATGAGAGTGTCGAATTTTGTCAAATACCTTTTCTGAATTGAGATGATCATGCGGTTTCTTTTCCCTTCATTCTCTTAATGTAGTGTATTGATTGATTTTTTTTTTTTTTTTTTGAGTTGGAGTCTCACTCTGTTGCCCAGGCTAGAATGCAGTGGCACGCTCGTGGCCACTGTAGCCTTGACCTGTTGGGCTCAGGAGATCCTTGCCTTTGCTTTCCAAGTAGCTGGAACTACAGGCATGCGCTCCGTTGCCCAGCTAATTTTTTGATTTATTGTAGAGATGAGGACTCACCAAGTTGCCCAGGCTGGTCTTGAATGCATCTCAGGCATTCCTCTCACCTCAGCTTCCCAAAGTTCTGGATTATAGGTGTGAGCCACTGCGCCCGGTCTATTGTTTTTTAATATGCTGAGTCATGTTTGCATTCCAGGAATAAATTCCACTTAGTTATGGTGTACAATCATTTTAATATGTTAATGAATTTGGTTTACTAGTTTTTTGCAGTCAAATGCTCTACCCCTGAGTTATAGACCCTCTTATGGTTTACTAGTATTTCGTTAAGAATGTATGTGTCGGTCGGGCTTGGTGGCTCAGCCTGTAATCCCAGCACTTTGGGAGTCCGAGGCGAGTGGATTGCCTGAGCACACCGGTTTGAGACCCGCTCGGGCAACTTGGCGAGACCTCGTTTCTGCAATAAATCAAAAATTAACTGGGTGTGGTAGCGCATGCCTGTAGTTCCGGTAGCTTGCAATGCTGAGGCGGAAGGTTCACCGGAGCCCATTAGGTTGAGACTGCGGTGGCCGAGAGCATGCCACTGCACTCCATTCTGGGCAACAGAGTGAGACTCCAACTCAAAAAAAAAAAAAAAAAAAGAATTTATGTGTCACTGTTCATATGAGATATTGTTCTGTAGTGTTCTTGTAGTGTCTGTCTGGTTTTGGTATAAGGGTAATACTGTCCTTAAAGAATGACTTAGGAAGTGTTCTTTTCTATTCGGTCTTTTGGAAAGCTTTGAGAAGGATTAGTTTTAGTTCTTTAAATGTTGTATAGAATTCACCAGTGAAGCCAACAGGTTCAGGGCTTTTCTTTGTCAGGAGATTATTAATTATTGATTCAGTCTCCTTAATAAGTAATTATAGGTCTATTTAGATTTTATTTTTCTTTGTGATTTAGTCTTGGTAGGTTTTAAATTTCCATGATTTTGTCCATTTCATCTAGAGTATCCAATTTGTTGGTGTATAATTGCTCATGGAATTCCCTAATAGTCTTTTTTATTTTTATAAGATCCATAGTGATGTGCCTTTTTAAATTCCTGATTTTATTTTATTTATTTTTTATTTTCATTTTTTTTTTTTAAACCTCATTCTTTCCGTCACAAAATTCCTGACTTTTTTTTTTTTTTGAGTTGGGGTCTCACGCTGTTGCCCAGGCTGGAGTGCAGTAGCAGAATCACAGCTTTGACCTCCTGGGCTCAGATGATCTTTCTATCTCAACCTTCCAAGTAATTGGGACTACAGGCATGCATTACTATGCCTAGAGAATTTATTTGATTTTTGTAGAGATGAGGTCTTGCTATGTTGCCCAGGCAGGTCTCAAACTTCTGGACTCAAGCAATCCTCTCTCCTTGGCCTCCCAAAGTGCTTGGACTACAGGTCCAGCCAAATTCCTGATTTTATTAGAAGATTCACAGTCTTCTTGTAGGTCACTTATGCTAAACATTTGTCAATCTTGTTGATCTTTTAAAAGTAACTATTGATTTTATTGACTTTTCTCTGTTGTTTTTCTAGTTTTCATTTCATGGATTTCTGCACTAATTTTTTTTTAAATTTTTTCCCCTCTAATTACTTTACATCCAATTTGATCTTATTTTCTAGTTTCTGGAGGTGAAAGTTTAGTAGATTACTGCTTTGGTATCCTCTCCTTTTTTAGTACATGCACTTACAACTATAAATTTTCCTCAGTACTGCTTTAGTTTTATCTTTTAAGTTTTGGTGTGTTGGTTTTTCACTTTCATTCATTTCAAAATATTTTCCAATTCCTTTTTTGATTTCTTCATTGACCTATTACTTATTTTGAAGTGTGTTACTTAATTTCCACATAATTGTGAATTTCCCAAGTTTCTCTGTTACTAATGTCTAATATAATTACACTGCAGTGGAGAACATGCTTTGTATGATTTCAATAGTCCTTTTTAATTTATGACCTAACATGGTCTGTTTTATGACCTAACATGGTCTGTCTTGGGGAATGTTCTATATATTCTTGAGAAGAGTGTGTATTGTCCTGTTGGTGAATGCATTATTCTGTCAGTATCTCTTAGATATAGTTGGTTTATAGTGTTGTTTATTTTATTTCCTTGTTGATCTACTGTGTAGTTGTTCAGCCTGTTGTTAGAAATAGGGTATTGAAATCTCCAACTATTATTTTTGAATTGTGTATTTCTGTTTTCAATTCTGTTAGGCTTTGCTTCCTCTTAGGTCTCTCGTTGTATTATTGTGTTTATAATTGTTACATCTTACTGATGATTTGACTCTTTTTTTAGTATCAGAGTCTTCTTCGTCTCTGATAACAATTTTTTCTGAAGTTTTTTTTTTTTCCTGGTATAAATTTTATACTCTGGTTCTCTTTTAGTTACTGTTTGCATGATATATCATTTCCCATATTTACCCTCAA